TGATTGAAACCGCCCACCCTGGCCAGGCACCATAGTAACCATTTGCATGAGGAGATCCTGATAAGGCATACGGAACTAGTAACCCACCACCAGCCGGAAGAGTTTGGGAAAGGTTGAGAGGAGACACCTCGTATCCGTCCACTTCCCAGAATCCCTCTTGCTAGCATCCATCTTGGCTGAGCGATGCGTGCACCACCAGGAAAGACTCTGAATTAGAATGATTGGCCAAAGACCACCTGGAAACTAATCCCATCACCATAAAATCCAAGACTGCGAGCCACGCGGCAGAGCAGTTCTCCTGGGTTCCCTTACCTACTGCTGTCCACCCGGGTGCCCTTTCCCAATAAAATCTCTTGCTTTGTCAGCATGTGTCTCCTCGGACAATTCATTTCCGAGTGTTAGATAAGAGCCCAGTTTCAGGCCCTGGAAGGGGTCCCACTTCCTGCAACAATATTGCCAAATGTCTCTTAGGAAGAAACTCCTCCCCTCGCCCTAGAAACACTGGCTTTAATTTATTAACATATGAAATGGAGATATTAGATACCAATTTGAAAACTCAAAATCTTCATTTCCCAAGTATTTCAATATTTCATACTTGAAAACTTTTTTAGTAGATCTTATTCACTGCCTATCTAATGGCCATTTCCCAGCCCTCTGTAATTACATGGTGGGCTGATTCATTGATCTCTTTTCTTAAAATTTTTTTGGCCATGCTGAACGCCTTGTGGAATCTCAGTTACCCCAACCAGGGACTGAACTAGAGCCATTGCAGTGAAAGCACTGAATCCTCACCACTAGACTACCAGAGAACTCCTTGATTCATTGATCTCTGAGCTGACAGAATCCTGTCCCAGCCCTGGAAGAGATGCCAATCATGCAAATCCCCTTTCCCTTTGCCAGTGGTTGGTCAAGGGATGGGAAACATGTAGCTCGGTTCTAGACAATGAGAGGTAAAAGTGGGGGAAATGCTTGGGAAGCCCTCAAGATTTTAAAAAATATCAATAAATAGCAATAAATAAGATCCTCTCTAAGAAAAAGTCTTTCGGCCATCTCTCCTTTTCACCCACTAGGATTTTTGCCTTTGAGTGGGGCTATGTTGCTTGGCGCTTCAGCAGCTATCTCACAGTCACAAGGAGCTAAACAGAAGGCTGAAATGACAATAGCTTGAGGAAGGTAAAGTAGAAAGAACAAAAGAGCTTCAGTCCTTGATGATGTCTTTGAACTGTTGAACTGGCCTTGGAATATCCACCTTGGGCTGCTTGTTAGTTGAAATAATTCAACACTTTCATTGCTTAGCTAAACCAACAACTGGTACACTATGGTCTGTGTGTCACATCCAGGAACTAAGAATTGTTCTTACAGTTTTAAAATGTTGTTAAAAAATAAAAATAAACACCCATATGTGATCCACAAAACCAAAATATTTTTACAATACAGCCCCGCACAGAACAAGTTCACCAGTACCCAACCTAAATCCCACTCATAGCAGATGTCTGATGATTTGCTACCCAAAGCATTGCTAACTAATAGAAGTACTGATGTATCCATTTTATAGCTATGGAAACTGAAGCTGGGTTGGCCAATTGTAGGCTTGACTAGGCAAGTCAAATACAAATTTGCCATTATTTCAATTCATTGTAAAGTTAAGTCAAATTGAGGCATCACAAAAGCATTAAACCTATTCCTTAGGGCTTTAAATAATGTTTGTACAACAGGTTTGATGTTACAAATCAGAATAGACAAGGCCTCTTGATTAAACACAACGTGTTCAATGAATACCTTCAAAGGGGGCCAGACTGTCCCACTATCTAGAGCACCAAGGCATTTCCTGCATTAGGAAATCAAAGCTGGAGACTCCAAGGAGGAAAAGTCATTACAGAAAAACACCAGAAACAAACTCACAGATACAATTAATTCCCTCTTCTACTTGCTGACACAGTTCCTTCACTTCCTCACTGACTCACTCAGAGAGTGAATCTTTAGGGAAAAGCATTCAAAGCCTTCCTCCACTAACTATAGCTCCTGTGTAAATCTGCAGTCAGGTCAGAACGTTCTGTCATGTAAACAGTGACAAAATCTTAAGTACACTCAGAGCATTGGGTCTAGAAGAAGGCACACAAAACTTTGGACAGCCCCTAAGGTGCGTGTTGTACAGAAGTTACAGTAGACACCTGCCAGCATCTAACCATGGAGCTGAAACTGAGCACCAAGGGGTGGCAGAGCCAGGCTTTTCTCAGTTGATCCAACCAGCATTTCTCTGCCTTGGTATCCCAGGACCTGGCACACAGCAGGTGGTCAGTGAGGAACAAGCGCCCTGAGTCTACACCCAGTACTGGTCGTGCTTCAGTGCTGGGTTGGTTTGTCGGCAGAACGTGACATGTCAGGATCCAAATTCACTCATGCCTCCCAAGGAGCACATCTTCCTGCTGGCTTGGAAGCTGGAGACTTCTCCATGCGTTCACACTGTGGGGTCCTGAAAAGACTGACTGGAAGACTGCCAGAGCTTCTTAGGAGAGGCGTCACTGTGACAGCGGGAACCGTTGCACTCCTTTCTGGCCTAGGACCCGCGGTTGGGGGTTCTAGGTTGATCTGGGGCTTAATAAGAGGTTTTGCCTTCTCTGCCTTCTGGACCAGCAGCCAGACACATGAGGCCACCACGGTTACTATTAGCAGGAAGAGCACCACTGTCAGTGGTATGATGACCATCAGAAGGTGACTGCTCTCCCTGGGCTGGGTGGGGGCCCCAGGGCTGGCTCTGGTGGCATCTGGTGACCAAATGACTCTGGTGGGAGAAGCCGTGACATCCAGAGTGGGCTCTTCACCACTGTGTCGTCCCCAGGGAGCTGCTTCCGGCCATCTGGTCTGGGTCAGCTTCCCCAGAGTTCCTGTCTGTGTTGTGGGTCCTGAGGAAACCACAGGCTTTTCCTGAGAAAGACCTATAGTCACAAGGCTATCAGTGACTAAGAAGGAAACATCGGGGGTAAAAGCCTGCAAAAGAAAGGGGTCAGGTGGCACTATGGTGAAGGGGAGACACGCTGCTGCTGGCTGGACGTCGTCTGCCCTGAGCAGAAACGTGAAGGAGTCACTGAGGCTGTTGGGGCCTGTTAGATTGGCATGTGGCTCGAGCATCAGCAGTCCTTGGTCAATATCCCTCTGAGTGAACAGAGTAGCACCTTCCAAGGCAGTGTCCCGGCCTACTCTCTGTACAAGTCTGCTGTGGACAGGGGGTTCTGTCACTTCAAATTTGGGATCACTGTTAGTCCTGTTAGCAAGCTCAGTAGCATCAAGGTCCTTTCTTGTCAGCTGATGGGCCGCTCTGTTGGCAATTGTCAGGTTTGACATGGCCCGCAGTAAAGGCTGAACTCTGATGCACAGTGTTTGTCCTGTCAGGTTGCTTTCTGAGGTAAACAGTGAGAACTGTAGCTGGTCCTCTGAGGCAGTGATGTTGGTCATGTGGTAAGACAGCTTTCCTAAATTCAGATATTCCTGTCCAAAACTGATGACCGCCTGGTCTTCAATGAGCAGATGACCATGTTGGAGGGGTCACATTATCTTGTAAGTGATATGGGGGCTCCTCTCATTGGTCACTGCTGACAGGTGAGCACTGGTGATGGTGACATTTGTCTGGCCTTGTGGAAGAAGGTCAGTGAGGTTCACAAGGGTGATGGAGATGGGGATGACATCCAGGTGGAACAGTTTGTAGAGTGGGTGGTGCTGGCCATCGGTGACACTTAAGTAAAACACTCCAGAGGATGGGCTTCCATCTTGTATGAACCACACCTGAGAGTTATCAGTGTCAGCTTGTGTGAAGTGGTGAACAGGTATATGTGGATGGTGAGCCATTGCCAAAAAGCCATTATTAGGACCACGGATGATCACATACCTGATCGCTTCTGGAGGACTGTCTAGATCTTCCACTTTTAGGTTTTCAGGTCCTAAAACCAACCTATTGCCCTGCAGAACTTGCAGTCGAAGCCCTTTTGTCTTTAGTTCTGGTGCTTGGTCATTTATAGGAGTGATGGTGATGTTAAACATCTCTTCAAGAAAGTCAGCCTCTGGCTTCATGGTGGACTTGCCCTTTTCATGGGGCCAAATGGCAAAGGTAAAATTATCAGCCAGTGATTCAGAGTCATCGTGAAGGTATGTGACTCCAAATTTATTGACTATATATTGAGAGAAATTGGGTTTTCTTTTGGTAATATTTCTCTCCAACCATAAGAGTTCCATGGTGAGGAAGAGATGTAACTTGGAACCAGATTTCATATGAAGAACGCTGAGATTTGGGCAATTTAAGTAAGAGATTGGATGCATCTAACTTAGATTGGTCAATGAGAACTTTGCCTCCCTCCCTGACAACAGCTCCTGTTAAAAACACACGTAAAGAACAAAGTGGCATCTCATTAGAACTTTCAAATGATCTCACATTTGCCTGTCCCAGTGGATGATTCAAAACACCTTAGTACCTGAATTAGCATTGCTACGCAAGGCGTACTAAAAAAAAAAAAATTTTAAATACACACGCCCACACTATTAAGTCAATATTTCAAGTAAGAGAGTTTTGAACCTTGAGATTCACTTATAACAAGTTCATCTCCCAACTTTCTTACTACTGGACTTTCTCTTACCATAGAAACAGGTATAGCTTTCAATATCTCTTTCTTTTTAAGAATTTACCCTTTTTGTTATGTTCATTTTCCATCAACAGTTTTCAGTCATGGGCATGGTGAAGTCCCCATTTGGAAGTACAAATAGGAATTCTTAAAAGCTAATTTTCCATCCTTTTCCCACTGAAACTATTAAGGCTCAGGAGAGGAAAAAGCAGAGGCCCAGAGAAAAAGCATACATAAAGAAGTAACACATTTCATAGCCATATAAGTTTTATTTCAAAGATTGATATCATGGCACTGATAATTAAAAGGGGAAAGATTTAGTCCCCAAATGTCCGTTTTAGTAAGTGGAGATAAGATACTGACCTTATCAGTAGAATAAGATGGAATTACCTGTATTTGCAAGCAGACGACTCTGCCGACCAGGTTCGTTAATTTCATATGAAATAGTTATATGAAACTCCTCAGGGCCTAGAGCTGCTGGCAGGTAGGACACTGTGAACGTGAAAGAGTCTTCCGCAGTCCAGCCTGTGTTTTCCCAGTCCATATGCTGGTATAATATCAGCTGTTCACTCACCTGGCCAGATAGTAAGAAAAATCAGCCCCTGGTTTCAGGGATCATATGAGAATTAACATATATCCCAATTGGAAGAGATACATGTTTTTTCAGGGTTTATTCATCCTCAGAATATTGCACATTTTCATGCAAATTCAGGAACATTAAAAGTGTGGTAACTTATTTGTCAAACCTAGGTGATTCTATTACCAAAAAAGAAAGAAAAGCACATTGATTTTGACATGACTGATGCCTACGGTATCTATATTATAGCAAGTTTATAATGAACCTTTACTTCCATGTCAGCATCATAACTACCAACTCCCAACCAATCTTGCTTCATATGTATTCCTACTTTTCTGCCCAACAGATTATTTTGAAGCAAAACTCAGACATCGAATCATTTCATCTGTAAATGCTCTAGCAAGTATTAGTAAAAGATGATTTTTTTCAAATATTCAGTTACCACCCATATGGCATCACTTAACATGGTCTTATGGCACCTATAGTTTTTATGTATTTGCAGTTATGTCTAGAGGTTTAATAAAAATCAGGTTCAATTTTTCAGTAAGAATGTTTTACATGTATATTTCCTCTTGCATTGCATCACAAGGCAAAATAATGTCGGGCTTCTTCTCTTTTGGATATGTTAAGATTGATAGGTGACTTCAAGTGTTGCCAGACTGATCCAACTATCTTTAAGCTCCCCATTAAGTCTATCAACTAATAGTTTTACATGCTCATTGATACAATTGCCTCAACTCATTATTTTCATGGGTTTCCCCAGTGGCTCAGACAGTAAAGAATCTGCTTGCAATGCAGGAGACTTGGGTTCGATCCCTAGGTCAGGAAGGATCCCTGGAGAAGGGAATTGCTACCCACTCCAGTATTCTTGTATGGGAAATCTCATGGACAGAGGAACCTGGTAGACTACAATCCATGGGGTCAAAAAGAGTCAGACACGACAGAGACACTAAGCACATTATTTTCATAGTGACAAAACACTATATTATTCATCATTCCTTCTTCATTCTTATTTGGAATTCTATATAGAACTTTCTCTTATCAGCAAGTTGGCTGCACTGATATACAGTACATGCAGGACAGACAGGATAAGTATTTTATTCTTTTCCTTATCATATCATTCTTCAGAAGGAGTCCCTTGGCTCCAATCCCCAAACACTGACCATTGGTTTTGTTTTGTTTGCTTGAGAATCATCATTAATTCATGAATTTTAATATAAGGTGTATATCATTCTCTTGCAAGTATTACTCCTACTAATTTTCAAATTTTCGCATCTTGCTTAAGATATTTTTCAAGATTTACTCAAAGTCCTTAATGTCTGTGGTCTACCAATGTCCTTTTTTTGAAAAACTTTTTATTTTATATTGGAGTATAGCCAATTATCAATGCTGTGATAGTTTCAGGTGGACAGCAAACTCAATCATACATATACATGTATCCATTCTCTTCCAAACTCCCCTCCCATCCAGGCTGTCACATAATACTATCAAGGTCCTTTTTATATCAATTGATGGAGATGGTCCCACCCAGCGTTTTGTTGTCCAGATACCATGTGAGCAGCCCTTCCTCCAACAACAGTGATTGAACACTCTAAAACTATAACCACAGAAGGGAAGGCTAAAGATTAAACATTCAACCCTTAATTGCAATAAGTCACATCTTTTTCTGACCTGCTATCTATCATAATATCTGAACTTACAGGTAGGTTCTGCCAAATTACTTGACTGTCTACGTCAAAAGCACTGAGGATAAACCATCATATAATTTAGAGAAATTTTCATCAGTAAGTATTTGGAAATACTGCCTTCCATACCCATGGGTTCCATACCCAAAGATTCAGCCAACCATGGATCAAAAACATTTGGAAAAAAAATCCCATAAAGTTCCAAAAGTCAAAATTGTTATGTATTACATACTGGCAATGATTTATATAGCATTTATATTGTATTAGGTATTGTAAGTAATCTGGAAATGATTTAAAGTATACAGAGGAATGTGTGCAGGTTATACACAAATACTATTCCATTTTATATATGGGACTTGAGCATCCGCAGATTTTAGTATCTGCAGTGGTGGGGGGGATGGTCCTGGAACTAAAATCCTACAGATATGTAAGGATGACTGAAATGTATTAATTAACAGAGGTTTGGCAATGCATTGTTCTGACTCTCTGCTCATGACAGTGGATGTAGAACCAAAAAGGCTTTTGGCTAGTGAGTTTCATGGAATAAAAGATCTGTGTTCCAAGAGTAGCCAAAACTGCTGATGAGGAGTTTTTTGTTTCTTATCCTATTCAAAGATAAAGCAAGGAAGTGCTGTCACTTGGAGATTTTAAGTGGGGAGAAGAAAATACCATCTATCAACATTTCCTAATTTAAAAAATAAGGTTACTCGTGAGAAATTGGACTTTCTCCAAAGACAGTAATTTCTGCTACTAACTAGTAACTGAATACCCCAGAAGTTCCTGGAGAATAAGTCAGTTTTATTTAGTAGATCTACCATTTCTATTCCTAGTTTAAGATTTATGACAAAAGGTTAGTTATAAATATATTCCTCCTCCTAGAAGTAGGGGACTGTGCCATGGATATTAGACCAGCGGATGGTTCCTGAAATGGTTCCATTCTGCTTAAGAAATATAATATTATAAGGCAAACAAGATCCAGCCTCTTAATATGAACAGTAATAGACTATTAACCAGGACGAAGGTTTTTGTGGATACAGGTCATTCGTGCCCACTGCTTCTTCAGTATGAGTGAAAGTCAGCTTCCCTAAAAAATATATAACTTATTATAATAATCTAAGATCTTTTGATGTCTATTGTAAGGAAAATGATTTTCCCATGGAAAGAATGGTTTTCATAGATGGGAAGAGCCGACATGAAGGTCAGAAATCTTTTGAAAGAAGTAACTGCAGAAGAGTCTTAAACATAGTTTTGCATTTCAGATGCCTAATGTAGGAGAGGTCTGTTCTGAGTTCTGTTTTTGAAAGGCATTTTAAGACTAAGAAATTTTTGATAACAAAGTGACATTTTACATTGGAGAGTGGAAGAGAGAATAGAATTAGATTCATCTTGAGTGTGTGAGCTTAAAGACCAGAGAACAGGTAACTGAAAGGGCTAAGCTAGAAGTCAAAGGAAATGAGGGTGCCTGTGGAATGTCAACTTGCCAGTCATGCCCTGAAAGAGGATAAGAGGGTTGAGGTGATGTTTAGAAAACAACTTTGACTTTACCAGCTTTAAGAGTCAGGTTCTAAGGGGAGTGTTTGTGTGTGAGCGTGTGTATTTGTGAGACTGCATGTGTGTGTGTGCATGCTAACAGAGGGCCAGAAAAAGGAGACTAAGATCAAGACCTCGTGAGAAAAAGTGTAGGGTCAACCTGAGGAGAGAAGGTTCTCAGAGAAGATTAGGAATTACATGTTACCTCAAATAGAAAGCAGCCTTAGGAGGAACTTCCAACAGCCCTGCATATTTCCACTGTGTTAAATATAGACAGATAAACCACTTAGCAGAATACCTGGGCTCTGGGATTAAGGGGAGGGGAGAGGGGTGTTTTTGTTTCCTATGGATTTATATTAGCCCAGATATTTTCTCTTTTACAATCTTTCTGTTATGTCATTAGAAACTGAATGGTGTATAATTCCAATATAGAAAGAAAAATAGAAAATGAGAAAAGTCGGGGTTTCTCTGGTAGCTCAGTGGTAAAGAATCTGCTTGCAAATGCAGGAGACACAGGTTCCATCCATGATCCCAGAAAATTCCACATGCTACAGAACAACTAAGCCTGTGTGCCACAACTATTGAGCCTGTGCTCTAGAGCCCTTGAGCCACAACTACTAAGCCCGAGTCCCAGCCACTGAAGCCCGTGCACCTTAGAGCCCATGAGCTGCAACAAGCGAAGCTACCGCAGTGAGAAGCCCGTGCACCACAACTAGAGAATAGCCCCCACTTGCCGCAACTAGAAAGTCCACATGGCAGTGAAGACCCAACACAGCCAAAAATAAACAACAGATACAACTGTTTTAAAAAAGGAAAGAAAACTCACCATTTGGCAAACAACTAGTAATAAACGCTTCAGGTAAGAATCCTAAAATGACTGCTAAAACTAGTGAGCTAAATTATGATGAGAAACAGATATTTAGATAGTTCCAAAGTGTCTCCTCATAGATACTTACTAATTTTCAAAGGGGAAAATAGTACCTTCACAGTTGAGAAGCCTGAAAAACAGCACCTGACCAAGTGATGAAAGAAAATATCATCAGGGAGAGGGAAAAGCGAGCACCAGGCAGGAAGCTCTGGGAAGAATCCAGCCTCTCTTGTGGCTCTCTTGCCCCAAACAAGAGGAAACATCAGATAAAACCAAACTGAGGGACTTCCTACAAATAACTGGTCTGTTGGCCACAGAAAACGTCAAGGTCACAAAAGTTAACATGACTGTGGAGTGGATCCAGATTAAAGGCAACTAAAGGCTCCTGACACCTATTTGTCATGTTTTGTGCTGTGGGTTTTCCCCTCTGCCATAGAGGACATTCACTGAAACAACTTGTCATATGTGACTAAGGTCTATAGGTTATAAAACAGTATTAGTGTTAATTTCATGCTGTTGAAAATTAAACTGTGGTTATATAAGAGAATGGCCTCTTGTTTTTAGGAACTATATAGAACTAAACATAAATGTACTAAATATAGAGGTAAATAAATACAAATATGTTACTAAATATAGTGGTAAGGGGGCCATCGTGTCTGTAACTGGCTCTCAAAACTCTCAAAATATCAAAAGTGTGTGTGTGTGTGTGTGTGTGTGTGTAGGGAGAATGATAAAGGCAGTTAAAAGGCAGTTAAATGCTAACATTTGGTGAATATGGATGAACAATAAAAGAATTCTGTATTCTATTGTGATTTTTTTTCTGAGTCTGAAATTATTTCAAAATAAAAAGCTAATCTAACAATTTAAAAAAGTGAATCCTGGGGTGTTTTACTATATCAACTTCAAGAAGGGAT